GAATTTTAATTTTTAACACCTACATAACCATTAGCAACGAGCAATAAAAAGGCATATCTTTAAAATAAAATTTTATATAATTACGTCATTAACAGTTTATTGTATATTTACTTGTGTGGTAAAAATAGGTTAATAACTTGTTAAATATAGTTATGTTTTCTTTTTAAAGTTAAGCCGTCTTCCAAACACCGTGTTTTGAATGGTTAAACAATCAATTAGCAAAAAACTTAACAGCCACAAAAAATATATAAAATTCATTTCAAAATATATAAAATTCATTTAAAAAAAACAAATAACCATATTTCGTTCCGCGGGTAGCGTTAGAGGCTACTATGGGAAAATTTTGAGATCCAGTTTAGGATTACTCAGTGAAGCATTTCATCTTAGTAGGAGATATCTATATCTTACTTAGTAAAAACAAAATTGCCTCGTTACCAGCAGAAAAGGGTTTTTGATCCAATTAAGGGAGAACATGTTCAGTCAGGTAATTAGGAAGGGGACTTTGAATTTACCAACTAATCATCATCATTACAGCCTATCAAGATATTCAATTTTTTGTTTCCCATATTTAAAGTAAAGTAAAGTTACAGCCTATATACGTCCCACTGCTGGGCACAGGCTTTCTCTCATTTGTAAGAGGGTTTTAGGGAAAGGAATAGTCCGCCGCTCTGCCCCAATTAACAATTTCATTGGTGCCGGCGGGGATCGAACCCGGTTTGCTCTCGTATTGTGAAATTTACAGCGAGCGCTAACCATCTGAGCTACCACGGCTCTATAGCTACCACGGCTCTCATATTTGCTAGGAAGGAACATGGTGGTGCCATCTCCTATTTCAGTTTTCCTCTGCTGCGTCATACGATGTCCACGGAATGACATGGGGTAGTGCAGTGGACTCTTACACCGCAACCACACGAAGTAAGACTTGATTTAGCTACCGAGCAAAACAAAAGTGACCCGTTTTGACGCGAAGTACTGGATCGAAAACCGACGAAACGGCAGCCTTTGTCTTTGTGTTTAAAATTAACCGTTTTAAACCAGCTCAACGTTTATGGTTGGCAATTCGTTTAGGGCCGTTCGAGTTTTAACATTCAAAGAGGCAGCTAACCGGTGACAATGGACACACTTTGTTTAATGGAAGAAAATGGATAACAGTGGTCGAGTTATCTGTAACGTACGCAATAAAGAACTCACTTAGGATCTTTGTTATTGCGACTGTGCTACTTGGACCTCTTAAGTTTATGGCGTTTTACGGATAATGATGTTGTAACGGAACCATAGTCAATTATTAATATATTATGTTCAATTTTAACCGACTAAAAAAGGTAGAGGTTTCTAAATTTGTTTGTTTAGTTTTTTTTATAGGAGAGGGGGCAAACGAGTATACGAGCGTACGGCTCACCTGATGGTAAGTGATTATCGCCACCCATAAACAACTGCAACACCAGGGGAATTGCAGATGCGTTGCCGGCGTTTTCAAAAGGAGTAGGCTCTTTTCTTGAAGGTCCACTAAGTCGGTTTTTGGGGAAGGGGGGGGGGGGGATATTTTTTTTTTTTTTTAATTTAAAAAAAAAAATTAAGTTAATTTTTTTATAAAAAAAAATTTATTTTTTTTTTTTTTTGGGGGGGGGGTTTTTTTTTTTGTGAACTTTGTCTTTACTCCGGCAAGTGTTTTCCCAAATAATATTAAATTTGACGCCACTTAAGTTTAAAATTTGGCTACTCTTTGAAAAATAACCGTCTATAAAAAATTCGACTGCAGGCTTAGACCATTGCAGGGCTAGACAAATTAAAGTATAAGCCCATTAAGGGGAAATATAATGTCAAATGGCTTAGCAAGATCCTTTGTTATGCCGAAAATATTGCAGCATTAATTTTGAAATAAATATATGGTAAAGTTGAGGATTAATGTTAATGATTATGTTAGACGAAAACACGATTTCGTAAAATTTTCTCGATAGAAAAAAAATCCAAAGTTACCTCCAAAATAAACAATAAACCGCTGTTATTCATAAAATACTTTAAATAAGATCATGAAAATTTGCATACTAACTGAACTAACTATAAAGCAGTGCTTATGTTATTTACTTTTTTTAAAATACCATTATTTTCACTGTAAAAAGAAATTACCTAAACTATCGGCGTCTTGAGCTTGAATCCTGTCGCCCCGTTAGTATCGCTTAGGCTTTTGAAGGGAGAAGTTGTGTCGCTTACGATCAGAATATACATTACGCAACAGTACGACGTAAAATTAAAATGGGAAATAACCGTGATAAAAATAAGAAGCGGCTGGCTTGGCGTTAAGAAACAGGCATAAATATGATAAACCTAATGAAATAAGTGTCTAACGACCTTTCTACTTACAGTATTAGTGATTACAAACATATCGGTACATAGCATACGACGCGCGGGCAAGTGGGGACGAAAATAGAATTTGAGCTGACTTACTCTATCCTCTTAATAAGTAAATTTAAACATAAATGTAAAATGCAATACGTTTTACTTATAATTAATAATTTTTTGTACTTACAAGCCTTAAACAAAAAACAAAGTAAACTTTTATCTATGTCTATGTTTCTTTATTAAGATATTAATCTACAAAAATGTTATCAATAGTAATAATATAAATTTTATGGGGGTAGTGGATATTCCAACTCCGCCACCACACAATTATTATTATATTTATTTAGACTGCCTCGTTGGTCCAGTGGTTGTAGTAGTGCGAGTGGTTGGAGTACTGATCACGAGGGCCAAAAAATCAATCATTGAGTTTTTCTGTCAAGAAATTCTCAATAGCTAAACGGAGTCAGGAAGTTGGTGGTGTCTCACCCCCGTGCCTCGGAAAGCACGTAAAGCCGTTGGTCCTGCGCCTGATCTCTCTCCGGCCGTGTCGGTTTACCGTCCCATCGGATTACGAGAGTGCGGGAATAGAGAGTGCACCTGCGCTTGCGCATACACTTGGGCACTATAATAATAATAATAACCTAGTAGCCAGAATTTTACACCAGGAGCTCGCTCTGAAATACGGTCTCGTGGATCGGAAATTGCCGTATTACAAGTACTTACCGGAAGCCGTGCTCGAAAATGACCGCGCTAGGCTCTACTGGGACCGGGCCATCATCACAGACAGGACTATTCTTGCGAATAAGCCTGATATTGTGCTGATGGACCGGGCACAGTCAAGGATATTTTTGGTCGACATTACCATTCCGTATGACGAGCACCTCGTGAAAGCCGAAACAGATAAACGAACAAAATATTTGGAACTGGCTCATGAGGTGATCGACGTGTGGGGTGGTCTGCCGGCCGAAATTATTCCTGTAGTCGTCTCTGCGAATGGGCTAATCCCAGTCAGCCTCTCGGGTCATCTGAGGCGGCTGGGACTACGTGACGGACCGCTCCGGGCTCAAATGCAAAAGGCGGTGCTCCTCGATACCGCCCGCATCGTCCGCCGGTTTCTTTCCCTTTCCCCCTAACCCTCGGCCGTTTGGTCCCCCCTGCCGAGGGCCTCCATCTGGTTGGGCTTTTATTTATTTATGTATTTTTGTATTTATTTTATTTTATTGATATTTATGTATATTTATCGTTTCATTTTAATTTATAATTATATATTTATATAACCCAACCAGATGAGAAAACTATATAGATATCCCCAAATAATAATAATTATATTACCATACTGATGTAATTGTGGTAATCCTTCATGTAATTAACGTATTTGTTCTAAGAATACTGTGACCCATCAACGGATGTAGCGGAAAATCGCAAGTAATTATTTTTACATGATTAAATAATAATTAACGTATCGTAAGAGACGACAGAGATAAACTGAAGCTACACTACTACTACCCAGGTTAAATAAATAATGTAACCTGGGCAGCAGCATTTTCCTGAGAGCAACTTAAAATAATCAAAACAACCGCCAACCCTTGCAAAGTATATCTATTGTGCAAAGTCCACTCTATGTGGGAGTCCTATCCTATGTTCAGCGGGGGCCTTTTATAGGCTTGCAATGAATGTATCGAATGGAAAATATAATAAGCATGCCCATTCTTCCTTTCGATGTCCTGGCTGATGTCAATTAAAATGTCACAAGTTCCTCAGTACCACAGATTAAGTAATGTTACTTAGGAAACAGTACTTACAGTCGATTCTTACTCCGCGACAATTAGAGCAAATTGCCCACTTCCGGCCTCTATTGGCTGGACCTATTAAAAAGGTGTTGTCTAATCTAACAACTCAGCTGCTCGATTCATGCATACGGTTCAATCATTGGTTTCAATTACCAGCAATAACAAGAGGGATAGAAAGATTTTTATAAGTAATAGCAATTGATTTGTAGGAATTATCATAAGTAAATTGTTTTAAACGAATCAAATTAAAAAAATATATATATTGCCACTTCAAGGAAATAATATATATTCATAAAGAATTATTTCTTAAGTGTGTTGGAAAATCCAAAATTGCGTAACACGATCACTAAACTCATTGGCAGAAAATATCAGAAAGACGATCGATTTTCATCAATATCTCTTAAACGATAAGAACATAAGCTAACAAAATGAGAGGGAAACGTAAACTGTTTGTAAGGTAATTTTATTGATTAAAACTACTTTTACGAATTTTATCGCGTTTAATTTTAATTGGTTTTTAATCCCCGAATCAATGTGTAGTGTGTAAATATAACGCGTAAATACATATAAGAAATCATTAGGAAATTTTATATATTAATTGCATCAGACAACTGAAATCGAGGTAACGCACACACAGAACGTCACGTGACGTCATCACCACAAATAAAATTACGTTCGCATTTTTCTACTTACTTTAAGATTATGGTCAATCGATCTAAAAGTGAAGTTTTCGTTTTATAAATGATAGAATAAACAATTTAATGTAGAAAGTGTAATAGCATCATGGCAGTTCGTCAACAGTACTGCACACGTCTTGATATCGCGAGCGAGGTGCGCAAAAAACTAAAAGCAGGTAAAAGAGATTGGAAATCAATTCCACGCATGAAAAACGACCCTGTCGTTTGGGGAATACCGCGCGGACGTGCGTTCTTGGAAGCAGCAAACAGTGTGCCGCTGGAGAAATTTCACAAGTTTGATGTAGGTCAAGTCAGCCGGACTTTTCGCTTCGTAAAGGTTAGCGTCGGAGCTGCCGCCGTACCGCGCCGCCGACAAATCCGGTTGTGTTATTGCGCAATTGATAGACTCGTTTATCAGATCCTAAAAGATCAGTTGTTTCGAAAACAATTAATATATTGGGTACCTTTCAATGTTCCATGCCAAACCTTTGTTTTCATTATACAGATAACGCATTTGATTCGCGTAATGAAAGGTGGGGGGGGGGGAGATAGTCTGTGTTCAAGTTTAATTTACTATTCCTACGCTGATAACTGGTTCGAGAGAACGAAAGTGGAGCGATAAATTTACTTAGACTATTGGGTTGAATGGTCTAAGTAAATTTATAACGATGTCATCATCATCAACTTACGATTATTTACAATATTGTAAATTGGGAAATTGGGAATACCCAAGGGTTTCATTCATGTACAATTAGTACTTATAACCACAAAGTAGGTTAGGTTGTACGTTCTGAAAGCAAATAATATTGCGGTTAGTGACGCGTTATGCTTAAGGAATTAGTAATTTTGTTCCAAAAGTTAAAATAATATCCAAAAAAATCATTGTAATGATTGAAGATATTTAAGTAACAAATTATTCTCATAACTACGTTGTTTCCTGTTTCATAAGACGAGACAGTGGGTAGTCAATGACCTAAGGCATATAGTGCATACATACCATGTATATGCAATAAAAATGTATCGTATTCATAATTAATAAAACTTTTATAATATATAATAATAATAATAAGTATATAGCGTGATACGTGAGTAAAAAAAAACTACGCACATCTAGACTACGTGACCAAACGCGTTGCATTATAAAAAATCTGATATGACGCAGTACTTACAAGTACAGTCACAAAATATTTTTATACCATTAATAAGGTTATAAAAAGCGAAGGAAATGATGTTAGCACCGCAAAAATTGTCCTAAAAATTAGAGTTTCTAGAATACATGGTGTACTTAATATGTTTATGAAAACAAAGTTTAAGCAAATTACGTAGAATAACTGTACAACCATATTACTGAAAGGTACGTAGGCAATGTAGCTGCCAAGAGTTCGTGGAATATCGCTCAATTGGCACATGGGATGGCGTCAGGAGGAAAAAAAATTAATGAACGAAAAGTATGACGTCATGCAATCGTACGTTACAAATTACGAGACAAGTTAGCTAAAAAGACATTTCATACCTAGTACTTCTCTATAAGCATTCACTGTGACCTATTTACCGTAGTTGAGTGTGTAGATGACCAAGTATTAGTTGACAATAAAATTGACCACACGTTATTTAAAAATCACAAGGGGCTAATTGACTGACCAATTTCTTGGTCACTTATCAGTAAAAAAGTCAAGAAGGTAGTGCGCACTATTTTATTCAGGTTTAGTGGCGCCATCTATGATGCACATGGGTAACTTAAAATGTTGCCAATGTTATGTAGATAATAGGTACCAACATAAAAAATCTTTAAGAAACACAATCATTGTCCATTATTTTGCACTTTATACAATTAATTCTTAATAGCCATTAAGAATTTTTCGAATGAAATCTCACCAAAACCGAATGATTTTAAGTAATAAATGTGTTTATTATTATATAGTTTACGTCGCACGATAATCAACGTAGGTAGTTTATTGAAGCATATGGCATAGATAAGCAGCACAATATTATTTTTACATACGTAGGTACTCGGACCCCAAAATCAACAACTTCAGACGATAAAAACGTAGTAGGTACGTTATATTAAAGATAAAACAACATAACAAAAACATATCAATTGAAAAAGAAAACATTTGACTAACAACAAAATTTGGAAAGTTGTTTAATATTCAAGTCGCGGATGCGAATGTTTGGTGACCCAAATAAGCTGTCAAAAACTTAAAGCAACAATGAACTCACCACTGGCTTATTGTATTCGTCCGTTTGGTAATCGAACATGGTAGCGAACATAAGACTGTCGTCCTGCTCGCCGCTGACAAGGTGATAGGGCACCAACTGCGACATGAGTGTTCAGTTTTTCACAACCGTCCAACACAACAGGACACTTACGGAGTTAATATGAAAATAATTGAAATCCACCGAAAACTTCAGGCGCAGCGTGTTAAATCACTTCTGATAAGAGTATGAGTCATACGTTTCCTACAAAACGTAAACGTGCACACTAATACAATGTTTTATATCAGACTGAGCGAGTTCGCGCGACCACAGCCGGTTTTGTATGATGGAGAGAACCGTTTCGCGCACGCGCAAATTTCGACATGTTAGTGCCAAAATGTCATAAGTAACAAGCATTCTAACAATTCATTAGTGGCGCCAAAAGCATTTTTCAGGCTCTCCCATGATTCAGTAAACTAAATTCATAGTTGCCTAATGACAAACGCAGAGTGCATGTTGGCAAAATGTTCATTAAATTTCGATACAGTTTTCTCCGTATTATTGAAGCCAATCTGAATTTGGCAACTTTTTCAAAATCATCGGAATATTGAAGAATATATAATACATACAAACACAACAATCTTTGAACAATTAATACTTTAAAAAAATGCAAGCTCCACCTGTTAACTACTGGTAACTACTATTCTAATATGTAAGTTTACAATTAAATTTAATGTATTTGTAGTCAATACTAAATTCATAGTTGCCTAATGACAAACGCAGAGTGTATGTTGGAAAAATGTACATTAAATTTCGATACAGTTTTCTCCGTATTATTGAAGCCAATCTGAATTTGGCAACTTTTTCAAAATCATCGGAATATTGAAGACTATATAATACACACAAACACAATAATCTTTGAACAATTAATACTTTAAAAAAAATGTAAGCTCCACCTGTTAACTACTGGTAACTACTATTCTAATATGTAAGTTTACAATTTGTAGTGAATACTACTATAAAGATAGTAATATAGCAGCTCAATATGAAAACGCAGATCAAGTAATTGAAGTATGTACTGTACGTAGTATATAGTATATACTACTTCAATGGGTCAAGTAGCCAAATTAAATTTGTAGCGAAAACCAAATCCGGAAACCTTGAACTGGAAACAAGTCAACTGGCGACGCAATTTTTGGCATTAGCATAATGTATATATATTACATTAACAGTAACAAAATATAGCACATCTTTTGTTACCGTTAATAACCAAGGTATATTTTCATATTTCTTCTGTAGGTGAGTTTGTCAGTGAACTCCTAAACGGTTGGACAGATTTTGATGAAATTTTTTGTAGGTTTGTGTTGGTCTTAGACGCCGGGGTACTTTAGATTTTTATATAGGATAGGGTGACAAAAGAGCACACAGTCCACCTGATGATAAGTGGTTGCTGCGGCCCATAGACATCTACATCTATACTCGATTACGAATCAAAATACAGATGTGACCTGTGAGGACTAAGACGGAATGCGTCGTTTCCAGTAAAAAGGGTCTCCGGTCTCTACACTCACCATACGAAACACAGCAGTATTAGGCTGCTATTTTACTTTAGTATTCTGTGAGAGCGTGGTCCTTCCCCGGTCGAGCCGATCCATTCGTGCTACAACTAGACTACTAATACAAATGCAGCATGGCTGTACCACGTATGAAATTCAGAAATGGACCCGGTAGGTGTCACTGCTTTCGAGATCCAGAAAACACCTGTACTAAGCCGGGGCGGATCGCTATTAGAAATCATATTTACATAATATCTTAATTACGACGTTCCAAAATAAAAATTAAACAAACACGTTTCATTATGTTACGTGACAATAAACGTAATATTAAACATAAACAACTAGTGATAAAGCATTTTATGCTAAATATATTAAGTGTACGTACAACACTATCAGACACACACAAAGTGAATATATAAATGTTCTGTTCGTTCCTTCAGTTACATGCAAGAGATATTACATCGATTATAAGCAAACGTATGACTAATGACTATGCAATATCCAAAGACAAAATAAGGAAAAAATATTTATTTGGTCATTTCTTTCCAAATTTGGATGGGCACTGGCACAACGCAGTACATTATGTAATCTTTATAACTTAATTATACACTAACAAGGAAAAAATAAATCGTTTTGAAAATACGCAGATAAGTACAAAATATATAAAAATCGCGAAAAGCCAACCTAAAATATCCGTTTGATGTGAAATGGTCCAAATATAACTCAGGATATGCTACGATGTGTCATCCTAACCCTGATTTTCATTGCTAGTTATTTGTACAGATATATTACACAAAACCGTCGATGCAGAATACGAGTAGTTTTAAAGATAAACGTAAAAAAATAATAGACAAATAAAAACACACATAAGACACCAGGATACCAGAAAACGTAAAATGAACCAGATCGCATAATCTATGCATGGTATTTGTTCACTAAAATGAAAGGAAAGGAAAATATCGGTGTCATTTAACGTTATTTTTTACATGGGACCGGTAAAGGTCTAATACAGTGAGAAATTATCCTGAAACTTCATCGTTGCGCCTTTTAGAAGCTACTGAACTGGAAAGGATATAGGAGAATTAACGGATCGTGAATGTTTCGTTCATTTGACCCGAGTCGCATCAAAGTATTTATGATTGCAATAACATATTTTAAACGTTCCGGATCAAACTATTGACAAACTACACACTAACAGTATCTAATAATATCCAACGATGGACATTATCGAGCGGGTCTCACAGATCACAGAGTATATACAGAAACTTGAAATAATCCATTTGAATGATCGGCCCGAAAGACCCGGTTAGTAAGCCGAAATAATACTTGAATGACCGGGTCACTTGAAATTAATGAATGAAACATGTCATTAACGACCTTAATTTTATATTCCAATGATTGGACCTGCAAGAAGAGGTAGAGAAGTTGCGCTGGCATATTATAGGATTATCATCCGAACAGAGGGGGACGACACGGTAATCCTTGAATCCGGCAACTTGTTCTATCACCGGGTGGGCGACCATCCGTCCCAAGGAGGTGTCGGATTTATCGTCCACAAGTCTCTCCTCAACAACGTTGTAAAGATTGGGAGTGTGTTAACGAGGGTTACGTACCTGATACTTATAATACACCAAACGGTATTCGCTGAAGGTCATAAAGGTTTACGCACCAACCTCGACACACCCCGATGAGGAGGTAGAGGAAATGTATGAGGATATCTTTAGAGCCATGCATTCCTCCAAAACATACTATACGGTGTTAATAGGAGACTTCAACGCAAAACTAGGCACAAAAGAAAGCGGTGAGCTGAAGGTAGGGAAATTTGGAAGAAAAAGGGACTCTTTTGATGAACTCTTTCATTCCAAAAGCCGCCCCATGGAAAGTGGACTTGTTCGACCCCGACGGTTCGACAAAAATTGAGATTGACTTCATTATGACGACCAGACGCCAACTGGTCAGTGATGTCTCAGTGATCGCGAGTGTGAAAACTGGCAGCGATCACCAAATGGTTTGAGCCACACTGAACCTAAACGTTAAGTTGGAGAGGTCTCGTCTAATGAAGTCAACGCTCCGTCCCCCTCGTGCACTGATCCATTATCCCGAAAACTTTCAGCTCGAATTACAAAACCGTTTTCAGTGCCTAGAAGACTGCAATACAGTGGATGATATGAATGATAAGCTCGTGGAAACTGTCCATGCGGTCAGACCTAAGTTCTGCAAGACCCACCGCAGAAGAAAACAAAAACTCTCCGATCACACTCTTAAGAGGATACCTTGAAAATTAATCGAAGTTTTGGGGGCGTGGCTTATTCCTTTGTCGGTGAAGCTAACAGACGACTGCGAGAGTATCAGAATGAAAGTGATGCAAAGACTTCATAGTACGCAAATTATGAGATGGCCATACTGAGCAAGCGCTCGGAAAAAAACTACGTAAGCGCCAAATAACATTTTTATTCATTTTAATAAAACTTCGTTATGAATTAAAAATAATTCCAGGAAATTATTCGTAAGAATATTGTGGTGTCATCGAGAAATGTAAAAGAATTAGAACCTACTTTACAATTTTTTTCAATCGAGAAAATTACATGATATCGTGTTTTCCTTTTATGCAATCCAAGGCCATATAGTCAAAAATCATATACCAAAATTTTAGTTTGTAATCTATAAAACTTAAAAAAATATGTTAAATAGAAAAATCACCAAATTTTCGAGGTATCACCTTAATCTCACGGCTATTAGACGGGAAATGAAACTGCAGTCTTCAGCATATTTGACTGCATACAGGCAACTGAACAGACAGATCTCCAAATACATGCGGCGGGACTTACGCAACTTTAATACAGCTCGTATTGAAGAAGCGATTGAGCGAAACCAGGGCTCCAAATTATTTGCCAGAGATCTGTCTGCCAGAAGGAGCCAATTGTCGAAACTGAAGACCGAGTGTGGCAGCATCGTTTCCGAGACACCTGAGATTTTGAGTGAGATTGAGAGGTTCTATGTGCAGCTGTGTGACACGTCATAGTTAGAGCCACACGCAAGTGTGAGTAACAATCCAGGAGCAAGTCTTATCCGACACTATTCCGAAGATATCCCGGCCGTCAGTCTGAGCGAGACTAGGGTGGCTCTCCAGCACCTTAAAAAGGCCAGTCCCCGGGCGGAGTTTACAGCGGAGCTTCTGAAAGCGGGTGGAAAACCGGTACTTGAAGTCCTACAGAAGCTCTTTTAATTCCGTCCTCCATGGGGCACTACTCCCGAGGCGAGGCCAGAAGTGAGGTGGTGTTGTCCTTCAAGAAAGGTGAAAATGCTCTCTTGAAGAACTACAGACCGATACACCTTCTGAGCCGCGTCTACGTGCTGTTTTCGATAGTCATTACGAATCGTCTCGCACGCAGACTCGACGACTCCCAGCCTCCCAAACAAGCCGGTTTCCGAAAAGGCACCATAGGCCACATACATTCTACACCCATCGGCAAATTGTACAGAAGACCAAAGAGTACAATCTGCCACTTTGCCTGGCGTATGTGGACTATGAGAAAGCATTTGATTCCTTCGAAATTTGGGCGGTGCTACAGT